GGTACCCCCCAGTGAGGTTCGCCTCCATCAGGATATTAATAAAATCATTGCTGCCACCCAATTTTCAGGTGATGCAACCTTGAATTCGGCCAAATTTGCATCCAGAGCTCTAGCCTCTTCTTGTAGAAACCCGAGACAAGCGAAAGATTTTGCCTTCATCATTCAAACGGGCTGAAAGAAGGTCCTCTCCCTTTTACAGGAGACCTTCCCTTCGTCCCTACTCCCAAGGGAGTCTCTCCAGGCAGGAATATCTTCAGGGATCCTATAGGTCTTCGGACCATCAATACTTTCAGGACAGGAACAGGCAATTCCAGCCAAAGCGGTCCTTTCGGGGCTCTGGCTACCGCCAGTCCTGCGGTCATAAGTGACTCACCGCCAAATCCTCCAATAGGGGGTCACCTGTCCTTCTTTGCGGACAGGTGGGAAAGGTCAACTTCAGACCTCTGGGTCCTTTCAGTAGTAAAATTCGGGCTCCCCCTGGAATTCCTCTCCAAACCTCCAACCCGCTTTCTTCAATGCCCACCTTACAAAAGCGAAGCCAGACGTCACTTAATGAACCAGGCTGTTCAGCACTTCCTGCAGATACACGCCATAGAGGAGGTCCCACACGATCAATGGAAACAAGGGTATTACTCCATCCTGTTCGTAGTCCCGAAGCGGTCGGGGGGGTGGGGGGAGAGCCATTCTGGACTTAAAAAATCTCAACTCACACATAGTGTATCGCAGATTCAAAATGTGTTCACTAACCTCTATTCTTCAAGGGATTCATCCCAACGATTTTCTAGTTTCCATAGACCTCATGGAGGCTTACCTTCACATTCCCATCCTGCCAAATCATCGAGAGTATCTCTGATTCAGCTATGCAGGAAAGCATTTCCAATACTGGGCTCTTCCCTTCGGGCTGGCATCTGTACCAAGAGTATTCACAAAGGTCCTGGCGGTCATGGCAGCTCACCTGAGGCAAAAACCGGTAAGGCTCCAGGCTTACCTGGACGATATTCTAATTCAGACTCATTCTCAGGAACAAGCCTTGCACGACTTGGACCTCACAATCCGAACCTTGAACGATCATGGGTTCCTGGTCAACTACAAAAAGAGTCAGTTGGTGCCAGTCACTTGGATCACCCGTCTTGGCGCCATCATAGACGCAATTCAAGGGACCATTTTCCTGACCTTGGAACGGCGGTCCGATATCAGGGACCTAGTAACTCATATTCACAAAAGCCCATCAGTTCCATTGGCCACTTTATCCAAGCTCCTGGGCAAGATGGTTTCGTGAGTTCAGATCATTCCATGGGCGCACCTTCACGCCCGCCACTTGCAGTGGTTCCTGCTTCCTTTTCAACGGAAACACCAGGCCCACACCATGTTGACAGTCAAAGTTCCACTCTCAGTCAGGCTGAGAGATCGCCTTCAATAGACAAGGGGTGTCTTCATGAATCATGACCGACTTGTACTCACTACAGATGCCAGCCTCCATGGATGGGGGACTCATCTCGCATCGCACGTGGCTCAGGGCCTCTGGTCTGCCTCCGACCTCACCAACCCTATCAACTGGCTGGAGCTGAAGGCCATCCGTCTCGCTCTCACGCAATTTCAACAGTTTGTGATGAACTGCCACGTTCTGGTTTTGACAGACAATATGGCGGCGAAGGCACATGTCAATCGTCGGGGGTATCCACTCGAAGCGTCTCATGGAGGAATCATTTCGCCTAGGCAGGTGGGCAGAGCAACATCTCCTCTCCATCAGAGCGGACCACATAGCGGGGATGGAGAACACACAAGCAGATTTCCTCAGCAGGAACGAGGTGGACAACAGCGAATGGCAGATCCATCCCGACATATTCCATCAGATGTGCAACCGGTTCGGCATTCCAGCCATAGATCTCTTCCCCACGAACTTGAACACCCAACTTCCTCGCTTCTTCTCGAGGTTCCCGACGCCGGGGGCGGAAGGGATCAACGCTCTTCGTCTCACCTGGCCACCGGGGCTTCACTACACCTTCCCACCACTGCCCCTGATTCCAGCTCTGATTCGGAAGATCATCACCAATGGGGCAGAAATTATCCTTGTGGCCCCACACTGGCCACGCCATCCGTAGTTCGCAGACCTAGTCGGTCTCTCCACATCTCACCCTTGGAGGATTCCACCAGACAAGATTGTGCTACGTCAGGGAACCCTCCTTCATCCGGAACCTTAGTGGCTCCAACTGACTGCATGGCACTTGAAGGGGCCCGGCTAAGGCGGGACAATTATTCGGATAGGGTGATTCACATTGTTCAAGCCTGCAGACGTAAATCCACAGTCAGACTCTACAATATCACCTGGCTCACCTTTTATAATTGGTGTCGATCCTGCCAGATTGATCCTATTGCAGCCTCACCTTCCCAGGTCCTGGAGTTCCTCCGAGATGAGTTTGACCGTGGCCTGGCTCATAGCACCCTTCGGAGACATGTGGTGGCTCTGTCTACGGCCTTGTCCAACTGGACAACCACTCACTCAACACCCTGTGATAAAAAAGTTCCTGCGAGGAGCCAGGCTCTTATGGCCCTCCTCAATTCATAGATATCCTACTTGGGATTTGCCCAAGGTCCTTAATGCATTAACAGAAGCTCCCTTCGAGCCCCTCCACACAGTCCATCTTCATTTCCTCACCCTTAAGGTAGCCTTCCTCATAGCCATAACTTCAGCCCGTCGCATTTCGGAGCTGGCAGCCCTCTCAGTTAGGGAGGATCTCTGTGTCTTCTGACCGGACACAGTTATTTTGAGATTGGACCCCTCATTTATTCCTAAAGTTAATTCCTTCTTTCACAGGGCCCAGGTGGTTATTCTCCCCAATTTCTGTCCACGACCTTCTCATACCTTGGAGCGAAGGTGGCATGCCTTAGATGTGTGGAGGGCTCTAAAAATTTATATCAAAAGGACTGCCCCTTTCAGAAAATCAGAGGCCTTGTTTGTTTCATTCTTACCAAGTTCTCAGGGGCACAAGGTCTCTTCTGCTACGATTGGTCGCTGGATCAGGGCCTGCATCGCCTCGGCATATCAGGCCCAGGCGATCCCTGTTCCCAGTCGCATTACTGCCCACTCCACTCGGAGTGCTGCTACTTCAGCAGCTTGGGCGACCCAGGCCTCCCTTGAGGAGGTCTGTAGGGCGGCCACCTGGTCTACTCCCTCGCCATTCATCCGCCACTACAAGATAGATGTTTTTGCTTCGGCCGACGCGTCATTTGGCAGGAGGGTTTTGCAGCAGGTGCATCATGCAGGGGTCTTCCCAGGCCCTTCGACATCCCATTCTTGAGACTGACAAAACTTTAGTATGTCCCGCATCTGGACAATGTCACACCCTCATCAAGGAAATTGGGCATTGGTCTTACCTTAAATGCCAGATTTCTTGAGTAGGGGTGACATTGTCCAGCCCCTCCCTCTGTCTCAGTGCCTGTACAGTTTATTGTTCTTGTTTAAGAGGTTTTTTCCAGTTGTCCCATTGGACCGGTTTTTTATTCCTGACAATGATGGTTCCTGTTGGAGATCCTTCTTGTGGCCTTCCTTCGTCGAAACTGAGCCTGAAAGGGGAGGAACAAGGGGAGTGGTCAAAAATTATGACTCAGCCAGCGTCAGATCCGACTGATACAACCCTCATCTGGACAATGTCACCCCTACTCAAGAAATCTGGCATTTAAGGTAAGACCAATGCCCATTCTCTCCATTCAACTGCCACAGATTTGGATCACAATTTTCTCTGTATTTGCATCAAGGGTCAACTTGCAACATTTTAGATGCACAAAGACAAATTCAACATTTGCTTCATATGCAGCATGTAGCTCTCAGACTTATGCAAAATGGGAATGTATTCACATTTTTAAAAAACCCATTATTTGTATAGCTGAGAGCTGCTTTTTGAACCTGGAATGTAGATTTCATAAGAACAGAATATTTACTGAAAGTCTTGGCATTTCTGTTTAGCGCTGTCTTAGAACTAATGAGAATGGACTGCCATGTTACTGCTTTTCCTCCAAAGGATGTGAGATTTTTCGCTTCACTCCCCATCCATTGTAATTCTGTCAATTTGGTTTATAAGCTTGGAGTCAGGGAACTATTTTCATTTTGTTTTTTGGATTTCTAAGCCAGTTTGGAAAAACATTTTTATATTGATTCATTGATATGATTTACATAGCCACACATTGTTACACAAATGCCTTTGGGTGGCTTACAAGTTTTAAAGCACAGAAACTCACAACATATAACCTCAGATGCCCAAAGATAAACCACCATCCCACTTTCCCATCCCAAAAAAAGCAACACACCAACAACAATTGAACTCATCTATCCAACTGTCCCAAATGACTAGGGATGCAGTCAAGGTTCAAGACCTAACAGAGGCTAAAACGTTTGGGACTATCTGAATCTCCAGGGAGATGCTTTCCAGAGAGCAGGTGCTACCGCTAAGAAGGCCCAACTCAAGGGTCCAACAAGATGTCATTGTTTAATAAAAGGGACCCATTTCTCTCTCTTAGAAATGATGGGATGAATTTAGAAGTTATAGCAAGGTGGTCTTGCAAGTAGCCTGGTCCTATGCCATGGACAACAGGAGAAGTAAATAAATAGTTTAAAGGGTGAGAGGAAAGGATGTCAAAGCTAGAATGGCATTGCTACCAATGCTGTGAATGAAAGATCACTAGTGACCAAAGGTACTCCCCTTTTAAAGTATCATTTGCTTATGATTCAGCATGCGTGGTTAAAATGAAAACAGAAGAATCACTTTTTTCAAGGCCAAAGATAGAAATGATAAATTTCAGTTTGCCAATGTCTTAGGTCAGATTTAAATAAATTAGCAGATTATCTATTAGGCACTTGGTTCAGTTCTAAACTAATCTCTTGTTAAAAGGACTGACTAGCCACAACTGGTAAGTGAACACTACTTTCAATAGTTCTACCCATATTGAAATTAGGAATGACTGTTTTTACAAAATTTCTTGACTCTTCCACTTTCCTTTCCCAGAAAGAAATCTTGCTGACTTGTCTCTCTGGTCACTGGGACAGATCAGTGACATGTAACCCTATTGACTGCCAATTTCCAGACCAATCTCACGTTCTTTATGCAGAGTTTTCCTGTCCCAAAGGAACAACGTTTATGAAGAGATGCTTCCTTTCCTGTATCAAGCCAGCAAAACTCCAAGGTAGGATGGTAGGATAGATTTGGATCGTGGAACGAAGTTCCAGAACATTTCCTCTTGTGTCTTTGCTAATCTGTTGCCTGCAAAAGATCAGAAGAATATGCTAAATATGTGACATTTTTAGGGGCTGTTAAAAATGCACGCCTACCACTGGTCTCTTCAGCTGCATGTCCACATTCAGGACAGATCTAAGATCCTCAACCAGCTGCCCAACCATTCTTCAGCTGTCCAGAAGATTACTTCCAGGGATCCACTTCTCACTAGCCCCTCATCCCCAAACTGTCATCACTAGCATTTCTTGTACTGCACCAGACTCTCCATTCCAACTCCTGGTCATGAACACTATTATCAGCCATTGTCCCAGCCATCTTCAACAGCTAGCACCACCTAGCTTCTGGAGCTCCAGCAACAACTATCTGATCTTGACTCCATCTTAAAAAATGAAAAGCAGTCTCTACAGCAAACTGCAGTGTCAATATGGGAATATAACATTATGCATGAGCTGAATTATATACTTTTGTCCTAACTTATGATGCAACTATGTTAAGTCATAATATTTCTATAATCATTTTACACATATTTTGTCATTTGTTCTTCTTGCCCTTCCTCTCATGGATACTCATGACATAAAACACATCTTACAAAATTTCATATTGGGTTTTATGACTTTCAAGACATCTTTTTGAGGTTTTATCTAGTCACTTTCACTCTGTTGCCAAGAAAGTTATATGGATGTGCCCAAAAATCAACACAAATTTTACTTAATATAAGGGATTCTTTACATTGATAATACAGTCAGGTCCAGAAATATTGGGACATCGACACAATTCTAACATCTTTGGCTGTATACACCACCACAATGGAGTTGGAATGAAACAAACACAATGTGCATTAACTGCAGACTGTCAGCTTTAATTTGAGGGTATGTACATCCAACTCAGGTGAATGGTGTAGGACTTACAGCAGTTTGTATATGTGCCTCCCACTTGTTAAGGGACCAAAAGTAATGGGACAATTGGCTTCTCAGCTGTTCCAGGCCAGGTGTGTGATATTCCCTCATTACCCCAATTACAATGTGCAGATAAAAGGCCCAGAGTTCATTTCAAGTGTGCTATTTGCATTTGGAATCTGTTGCTGTCAACCCTCAAGATGAGATCCAAAGAGCTGTCACTATCAGTGAAGCAAGCCATCATTAGGCTGAAGAAACAAAACAAACCCATCAGAGAGATAGCAAGAACATTAGGCATGGCCAAAACAACTGTTTGAAACATTCTCAAAAAGAAGGAATGCACCGGTGAGCTCAGCAACACCAAAAGATCCAGGAGACCATGGAAAACAAGTGTGGTGGATGACCGAAGAATTCTTTCCCTGGTGAAGAAAACACCCTTCACAACAGTTGGCCAGATCAAGAACACTCTCCAGGAGGTAGGTGTATGTGTGTCAAAGTCAACAATCAAGAGAAGACTTCACCAGAGTGAATACAGAGGGTTCACCACAAGATGTAAACCATTGGTGAGCCTCAAAAACAGGAAGGCCAGATTAGAGTTTGCCAAACAACATCTAACAAAGCCTTCACAGTTCTGGAACAAGATCCTATGGACAGATGAGACCAAGATCAACTTGTACCAGAGTGATGGGAAGAGAAGAGTATGGAGAAGGAAAGGAACTGCTCATGATCCTAAGCATACCACCTCATCAGTGAAGCATGGTGGTGGTAGTGTCATGGCGTGGGCATGTATGGCTGCCAATGGAACTGGTTCTCTTGTATTTATTGATGATGTGACTGCTGACAAAAGCAGCAGGATGAATTCTGAAGTGTTTTGGGCAATATTATCTGCTCACATTCAGCCAAATGCTGCAGAACTCATTGGACGGCGCTTCACAGTGAAGATGGACAATGACCCAAAGCATACTGCAAAAGCAACCAAAGAGTTTTTGAACAGACAGAAGTGGAATGTTATGCAATGGCCAAGTCAATCACCTGACCTGAATCCCATTGAGCATGCATTTCACTTGCTGAAGACAAAACTGAAGGGAAAATGCCCCAAGAACAAGCAGGAACTGAAGACAGTTGCAGTAGAGGCCTGGCAGAGCATCACCAGGGATGAAACCCAGCATCTGGTGATGTCTATGCGCTCCAGACTTCAGGCTGTGATTGATTGCAAAGGATTTGCAACCAAGTATTAAGAAGGGAAAGTTTGATTTATGATTATTATTCTGTCCCATTACTTTTGGTCCCTTAACAAGTGGGAGGCACATATGCAAACTGCTGTAAGTCCTACACCGTTCACCTGAGTTGGATGTACATACCCTTAAATTAAAGCTGACGGTCTGCAGTTAAAGCACATTGTGTTTGTTTCATTCCAACTCCATTGTGGTGGTGTATAGAGCCAAAGATGTTAGAATTGTGTCGATGTTCCAATATTACTGGACCTGACTGTATATACTGACAACATTATATATTTGGGAGTGGTCCACAATTTTCTCTCCACAATTTTTTTTCTTTCTTTCAAAATATATTTGATAAGGCTAAAGGATGGGGTAGGAATTGTGACTGCAATGGGAGATATATCTGTTTTAGTCTCACAAAACAATGGCAATTTTAAAATTCTGAGAGAAGAAAATTAATAAAAGCTAACTACTTTAGGGAGTTCAGCTGCCATCCACCAGATCTTGTAATATATCCCTAAACTCCATTTTCCCTTCTCTGAATTTGACAGCTCTGAATAAAGCACTGAATTATTTGGAGCATGTGTTTGCAGTAAATTCTTAAAAAATTCCAGTGAACATAAGACGAAGTGCCACAATATGAAATGCATTTATATTTCATTTGCGAATGAAATATAAAATTAGCTCTTTGGGTTTAAGCACCTGGGATTTTTTTAGGCCAGGGATGTCACACTGGCAGTCCACAGGAAGATGCGTCACGCGCAGGCCACGCCCACCCCAGCTCCACAAAGGGGAAAACCGTCACGATACGTCACATGATGGCAATATGACACGGCGAATTTGACATCCATGTTCTAGGCCCTTCAATGTTGGTAAAAATCTCTAGGAATCTTGGAATGTACTTTAATGTGGTTACTTTAATGTAACAGAATCCCAAAAGCCTGTCAGAGTCCCTCTCTACTTCAACTTATACCCAATCAAGGTGAAGTTGTTTTAGTTTCTTCCTACCTTCACAGAACTCAGGTATCTTTTTCTGTAATGGTTTAGCATTATAGTCAAACTCACATTCCAGCTATGAAGGGCATCTCTCTTCCACAAGCATCGGTGCCATTATGCTGGGCACTGAGGATGCCTTTTCTGTTCCCAATTATGAATGAGAAATGCAGTGTGGCTGTTTGTATCTTCCAGAAAATAAATGTGGCATTTGCCAAATAAATAAAAGCTGTATTTTGTATTTCTGTATTTTTGTAGTATTTTATTAATATAGTTTTATCTTTCTAATATTGCAAGCTGAGTTACCCTGTGGTAAGAGGGACCACCAATGAATTTAATAAATAAATAAATAAATTTCATACTGCCAAAGTACTATTGAGAAAGATAGTGCAGACAGATTAGCATTTTCTATTATAACTATTTGTTGCTATTGTATAGTGTGTATATTACTTGGAGACTGTCAATCAGTCAATTAATCTGAGTAGAGCTCAAAGGGAACTTGGAGGTCTTCTAGTCCAACCCCCTGCTCAAGCAGGAGATCTTATATCATTTCATGACTATACAAGTCAGACTAAAGTGGCATAAAAGTCTGTGCAAATAAACAAATGGTGAAGGTAAAGAAAATTGGATCAGAGTAAGATTCAGCCTAAGGTTCAAAATAACTAGTTATGCGATAATTTGAATGGGTTTGTTTTTTTTTCTTTCTCTTGTTTGAAATCAGGAATTAATCAGTGGATCACCTGCCTGGAAGATGGGCTCTGGTCACTTCCAGAAGCTTACTGCAAACTGGAGTGTGACTCTCCAGGCCCAATTGCCAACGCTGAGCTGCTGGTGCCTCGATGCAAGCAAGGAAATCATGACGTAGGATCTGTTTGTCGCTACAAGTGTAAGCCTGGATACCACGTAGCAGAAACAAAAGAGGAAAAGCCCAGGAAGTGAGTAGTTAAATGTCTCGTCTCCTGTTGATATTTCTTCTGTTCTCTCTTCTTCCTTAACATCAGTGCTTTAATTCTTGGCAATGCATTTTCCAAAATTATGATGGATGTTCAGTTTTGTTCTTTGTTGGCACGGAGTCATATAAAAATGACAAGAGGAGAGTGAAAGAAATCAGCTGAACAGATTGCAAAGGCAGCCTCATCTAGAGTGCATTGCAGTAGTCTAAAGAAATGGTGATGAAGGCACAGGGCGCTGCAACATGATCCTGTCACCCGTGTAGGACCACAATTTATGTAAAAATTCAGCTACATACTTTATACTCTATGTATATATTTGTAAGTAAATAACTGATAAAATAAATGCAATTAAATAAAACATTAAAACTAGTATAATGAAAATATCAGAAACAGAATTAACAGGTTTGATGATAAAAATTATTTTTGCTCTTTTTCTAAATTTTATGAAAATGGGAGCCTAGCCTTCCCCTTGGGTGAGGAGGGGAGATGTGCAGTAGGAAGACTTTCAAAGATTCCTCTGTTACTGATCCAAGTAATCAGGCAGATTTGTAGTGGGAGGCCCTAAGTCCGTGATGGCGAACCTATGGCATGCATAGCATATCAGTGGGCATGCCAGTTCAGCTCTGGTGCATATGTGCGCATCGGCCAGCTGATTTTTGGGCCTTCTGGGCCCACCAGAAGTAGGGAAACAGACTGTTTCCTACCGCCGGAGGGCCTCCGAGGGGGTGGGGAAGGCTGTTTTCGCCCTCCCCAGATGCATAGAGAGGATCTGGAGCTAGGTGAGAAAGAAGAATGGGCCTACTGGGCCATCACGTGTGCATGCGCAGGGCGGAGCGCATAGAATTATGGGTGTGGGCACAAACCTCCCCCATCCCTCACTCCTGGTATGGGATGGTTAAAAGGTTAGCCATCACTGCCCTAAGTCATTCAGGGTTTGAAAGATCAACACAAAGATCTCTATATGGATAGTCTGTTTTTTCAGTACAGTAGTCCTCAACTTACGACCACAATTGAGCCCAAAATTTATGTTGTTAAATGAGAAATTTGTTAAGTGAGTTTGCTCCATTTTACAACTTTTCTTGCCACATTTGTTAGGCAAATCACTGCAGTTCTTAAATTAGTAACACTAATTGTTAAATAAATCTGGCTTTCCCATTTGCTTATCAGTAGGTTGCAAAGAGGAATCACATGATTCTGGGACACTGCAACCGTCATAAATGTGAGTCAGTTGTCAAGCATCTGAATGTAAGTCACGTGACCATGGGGATGCTGTAAGTGTGAAAAATGGTCATAAGTCACTTTTTTCAGTGCTTGTGTAACTTTGAACAGTCACTAAATGAACTGTTGTTAGTCAAGGACTACCTGTACATAATGTACAGCACATGTGATTCTCCATATCTTGCAATGGCCCAGTAACCTGACTTCTACATTTTCCAACAGTTGCAAATTCTGGGCATTGTTTAGAGATACATCTGGATAAAATAAGTTGCAGTAGTCAAGGTAGGTTGTAACTAAGTGTAGGGAGCCAATAAATACATTGAATGTAATATATTCAAAGAATATTCAAAGATATATTCTTCATACAAATTGTATGTGAGTGAATATATACACAAAAATACATGCATCAGAAATGATGCATATAAAAGTACAAATGAATATTCATGTACAACTTATTACAGGAATGCTCTGAAGTGAAGTTAATGCTGAAAAGTCATTGAATAAAACCAAAATTGAAAATTGTGCTGTCTGTGGAAACCACAAAGATTTGTTGCTTTAGAGTTGGATCACATTTGGAAACTATTTCTAAACAAAAGTTTAATCAGATAAGAGGAAGCTGCTGTGTGAAAATAATAATGAAAAAGATTGATCACTTATAGAAAGAGGAGGAAATTGGTGTTACTTTCTGAAACAAACACTGACATTTGAAGAGCAAAGGTGGAGGAAGCTATGTGCTTCACATTTCAAGAAAGACAAGGCTGATACATAGCCTTTCCTCCTCCTCTTCCTCCTCCTCCTCCGGTATTCAGGGCTTCAAATACCTACGGTATTGAGAAATCAATCGCCGCACAATTCATTTTTACTGCAGATGTTGCTGTATGGCTGATGGAATGCTAATGCTGTCATAGATCTTCATTGCTAGTGGAAAGTCAACTGGAGGTCATATGTTTAAGATGCCCTTTCTGTGTTTTAAATGCAGAGAAATGTCTATGCCTTCATCTCTAGTTTGTCAGATAAGGACATGCCCTTGGCTCTTCCACCAGCTCAAGGCACATTCTGCTGTGTACTTAATATTCTATGAGCATCTTTCCACTAGTCTTAAATTTCTTCTGATTAGATAAATTTATTTTTAATGTTCCAATTATATTTAGAGCAAGATGTACACAGATTTCTGCTTTTTGATCTTGTGATTGGGTGCTTTGGAATAATTACAACATTGAATAAGTTCAAAAACATGAAAAATAATTAGATATTAAATATGAAATATGGTTATAGGATTGCTGTAGGTTTATTCTCCAGCATAGCTGGCTGGAGAATTCTGGGAGCTGAAGTCCACAAGTCTTAAAGCTGCCACGTTTGAGGACCCCTGTCCTAAATGGTCATGGGGTGTAATTTTTTTCACCATTGTCGTAACTTTGAACAACTGCTGAATGAATGGTTGGTAAGTGAAGGCTACCTATATAGGCAGAGTATACAATTCTTCTATTGAGCTATTTGCTGTCATTTCTGGCTTAAAATAAGACTAATTTACAAATGACAGAATTGCAGTTGTTAAAATTATATTGTTTCTTAGGTAATAAAATTTACATTGCTCATCATAAATAATATTAAATTATTGCATAAATATAAACAGAAATATATCATTGCATTTGTACATATGTTCTTTCCCTTAAGTCTATTAGCTAGATTTGTTAAAAATGATTGCAATAGGGGAGAAAAGGAAGAGAGATTGAATCTGCATCACTATCTTGTTTACTATCACCACATTTGGTTCAGTTTCTTTGAGAACTTAATTCTTTTTGTTGACTTTTAAATACTTGCCAAGTCCAGTTCACAAACTGTCATCTGAGAACTCAGAAATATGCATGTTCATATTTTAAGAGTCAGATTTGGGTGGGTGTTTACTCAAATCATTGTTGACTCCTGGCGCCTGCCTGGACAAGTTTCTACAATTATTTTGACAAGGTTTGGGGGAAGTGATTTACCATTGCCCCCTTCCTAAGGCTGTGAGACAATGACCAGCCCAAAGTCACCAAGCTGGCTTTGTGCCTAAGGTGGGACTAAACTGGTTTCTAGCCTGGCACATTAATCACTACACAAACTGACTCTCAAGAGACAGAATAATAGCCAAAGGCAAGATAAATAGTGACATGGTAAAACTAAAGGTGCTGTTTAAGGATCCCTGCCTGTCTGACAGTCTGTCTATCATCTGGCCTTTTCCCTTGAAACCTTCTCTTCACATTCATCCTCTCTCTCTTTTCTTTCTTGATGAAAGCAGGGAAGAGGCCTGATTGCCTTCACATCTTCAGTTCTCCCTGTAGGCATCCTGTTACCCAAACAGGACAACAGAATGAGTTAGATTTCAAAAAAAGCAAAAAGAGGTGAATGTGGGAAAGGCAAGTGGAAATAAACAGCCGAGTAGAGGCTGAAAAACTTTCAGAAAGGTCAAGGTGGGTAAATTAAAATATAACTAGTCAAAATATAGTTTGGCAGCAAGATGTCTAACATTAACTGGAAATGCATGCAGACTGTTTCATGTTCTTGCACTAAAAAAATTCCAGGGAATGTGCCAAATAAGCCCATTTTTCTATCAAATAGCTACATTCCAAATTATAAAAATCATATTCATGTTTGCTTGTTTTTACAAAATAAACCTGCTCATTTGGCATGACTTTGCTGAAGGTTTCTGAGTCCTGCCAATACCATACAAAGTTACAGATCAGAGGAGGATTCGGTCACTGTATTTCTTACCTTGGCTGTTATAGCAAGAGAGACTTAATTTTACTGCACTGAAGGATAATCCTAGATGCAACATGTGCAAAGGCACCTCCCTCAAGATAAATGTGTACAATCAGGCAGAAAAGATGTGGGCAAACTAAAAGTGATGACTAATGGAATGATCATAAAATCAATTAGTTTTTAGCTATATCATGCATTATAGCAAAAATGAAAAAAGGAAAAACAGCAAAGAAGTTGGGGACAGAAATTCTAGTCCTTAAAGAATGCAATTGTTTTACAATGCCAATTCAATTGCAACATTTTCCTTAAACAACCTACCAACATTTTTCTTTAAATAATGTATTAAGATCTTTGATATTTTACCCAGAAATATTAATCCAATGAGCATTCATGAATTTTCAGGAAATGACCAAATCATAATTGGCCAAAATTTAAAATATTCTTTCCAAACCTTTAAGGCAAACTTTTAATCTGGCAAACTTCGTTCTTGCATCTCCAAAAGTTTGGTTTTATAAAAGTAATAATTGTATAGCTTCAGTGGTGGTCTTCCTTTTTTAGAATTCCTGTGGGAATCCAGGTGCATGTTCTCACCAGATGAGTATGATTAAATGGATATATTCTCACAATATCTTAAACCCAAGACTAATAGCACACAATTGCAGTGTTCCCACAACATGGTATGGATTAACAATTATACTACATTATGTCATAATGTTATAGCACATTGTATCAACCAGACTAAAACAGTGGTTTAGCTCATATCTTCCTGAATAATTCAAACCCTTGTTAGCCCTAATCTAGCATGTGATATGAAGCTGATCATTTCATTCTTATTTGTGAATGAATTGCCCACCACCAATGGAGTTTATAGAAGACATACTGTGGATCAGACGGTGCAAACTCTTAATTCCAGGAAATGTTGCTGTTGCTGTTTTGCCTCTCTTAATGGGAATGCTAGGACTAGTAATTAAGATTTTCTTTTAAAGAAGCCTAACTGTGAAGACCCAAGAGTTTGATTCAGAGTA